CCTATACAATAGCCTGAAGCAAATTCTCAGCCTACCGACTGCTGAAAATCGTCTTTTTATTATCCACGCCAGTACAATTTACTTGCTAACATGTCTACATTGAAAGAAGGTCTGCCTCGTCTAAATATAATAGATAATTGCATTTGAGTTTAATGTGTGCCAAGAGTAAGCGTTAAAATCGTTTATGAAATCTCACAGATTTTATTATTATTCTTGGTTAGCATGATTTTCGGGGTGGACGCGGGAATAAGTGCTATCCACATTATAAGTGCTAGATACAAACCTAGCCACAACGCTCTTGAATGTGACTAAAGACCGCCTGTAGTAATCAAGGGGTGACCATTTTCATTCATAACATAGGAATACAGAAGCCGATTATGCTCAGTTAGATGATTGCCACAAAATTGCACAAACGAGGACCATATTCAAGGCGATTGTGGATCAGTCCTCGTTACGCGCAAATGGATGGTTGTGTTATAGTGCCCATTAGAAAATAAAGCCTTTATTTGAGGGCGTAAAAATGGTAAAATCAGTTTCATTCTGCAATGCGACCGCGTTAGGGAGCGTCGTTTAAAAAGCCACACTTCCTGGCTATCAATAAAAGGTATAGCACACGATTCGCTCAAATAGACGCAATTTTATAAAGTGCGTTTTAGAACAGGAAAATTATTACTTATATGCGTTAATTTTTGAGGCCCTAGAATTTAAATATATCTTAAAGAAAAAATTCAAAATTTATTTATGCACTCGTCTTGGGGAAAGGTATGTATTTATTCAAGAATGCATACTTATGGAAAGAGCAAAAGTCAGTTTAAACGCGCTTTTTCGTTCCTAAACCATGCTGAACTCTATCCAAAGCTGCATGTGCGCGAAATGTTTTAATTTTAATTTTGCTTATGTCCGTGTAAAAAAATCAAATATCCTTCTATGTGCTCAAAACGAAACTATATGGGGAGCATACACATTTCCAACTGATCAGGATTTTAAGACATAATTTTAAAAAATATTATTGAAACGGATGGTTAGGATGCCGATACAAATGAAGATGCGATTTCCAGGAACTATTTGATAAAAAGAAACGATGGTTGAAACAAGGGGTTTATTCGGCTGACATTTAGAATTCTCATAATCAAAGGCAGTGGCAAAAAGGGTGATTTGTGCACAAGAAGTTGCAGTATTTATAGGATGCAGTCGATATGCTATTGCATACCTATAGCAATTATGCGCGCTCCCCTTCATCAAGGATTGTTGCCCACTGGTGCGCTAATTGCCTGATAGCCGGCATGCAAGTTTTTAATTGCTGAAATCTCATGACCAGTGTTGGATGCTGGCGTGATCATTTTTCGGTCATCTGACTCACCGGCTTGAGCGACCCCCTAGTGGTAAATTACTTTGACCAACCTATGCCTCAGCACGGAATATGGAGTGCAGATGTCGTTTTACTTCTTGCTAGACTGAGGTCCACGTAACCATGACTTAATTAACTTGCGGCTTGTGCGATTATCATTTTTGCGAGAATGCCGGCCTCATTTAATTTTAATGCGTGGCCAGGTCTCGTTAAACAGGCCGCGAACGGAGAGTTGGCGTCATTTCTTCTCACTGCTGTCCGGTGTTCGGTGATTCGCGTCCGGAACAGTCTTCCAGGTTCTCCAAAGTAGTTAATTTGTCCACAACTGCACCAGATCCGGTAAACGACTCCAGATGTTTCATGCCGTGGCAATGGGTCTTTTGGTCTCATCAACTGGCGCGTCATGGTGGCCTTCGGTCCATCTTCAACTCAAACCCTAATTAATGCAGGAAAACAAATGACGTCCTCGAAGATGTCCTTGATGTACGGGATCGCTCTCCAGAATTTGGGGTCAGCCCGGTTCTGTCGCTCTTCTCGTTTGCGCAATCACCGGTTAACGAAGTTGCGCGGGTAACCACTTTCTCTGAAAACCCGTGGAAGATATTGGAATCCGGCAACCTTGTCTTCCGGTTCACTGCAGTGCGTCTCAACAGGCCGATAGAGCGTTCTTACGCACATACGTTTGTGGCTGATTTAGTAGTTGCTGTCGACGTTCAGTATTTTCGTCATGTTCATCGCTTTCCTGAGCACTTTGATCTTTAGGTCACCACAATCTTTGCGATAGACGAGAACGTCAAGGAAGGCCCACTGGTTATTTTCTTGTCCTTCATTGTAACTGCCCGTAACTGCGCCAGATCCGGCAAAGGGCTCTATATGTTTCTAGCCGTTGCAGTGGGTCCTTTGGTCTAAGCGCCTGAAGTTTTATAGTAATCTCGTGTCTGTGTTTAACACAAACCCCCAATAATGCGAGAAGGCGACTAATGTCCTCGGAGACTATCTTACCGTATAAGATCGTTGGAAAACATTTAGGGGACTTAATGTCATTTTAGAGAAAGGTAAAGAAAAAGCCCACGCAGCACTTACTTCTTAAAAATTAACCTTGAAATCCCGGCAAGATAGGTTTGTCGCAAGATCTGAGCCAAAAATTGTAAACGTAAACGAAATAACGTGTCATCTAGTACCTAGAATTGAGCCCTTAAGGAAGAATGTTTAATGTTTATAAAAAAATTTTGAGAGTTTTCCTATTTCACAAGATGTAAATTGCGCTAACTGTGCGTTAATCGAAACAAACTTCCTCCAAAGGCCTATCGATTTTCATATATGAGTATTACAAATTTCGATTTAAAAGCCTCCAGTCGGGCGATTTGCAGATAGCAATCTCCAATCTCACGAAAACGTCTGGACCGTGCAATATTTTGAGATAAAAAAGCCCTTCATTTAAGTGCAAGCCCTTGTTTTTGCAAACAGCAGCAGGCCAGTAAGAAATTAATAAAACCGATAATTATGGCCTCTTAGGGAAAATATTTTGCAACCTATAACTGTTAATAAGATTCTTTAAAAATTATAATGCTGCTTTGTGCAAGGGATGTCGATCCTCCATAAGGATTTCAACCCATGTTTGGTTAGTGTCTTAGTAGATTCTAATGCGCATTAAGCCTACAAATAAACTCGAATGTCCCAACAACGCCAAATACAAAATCTGTTTTTTTAAAGTTTTCCTACAAAAGTGCCCTTAATGACTTTTAACGACACTCCGAATTCTCAAACTTGTTTTTCAAATATTAGGTTGAATGCTGGCATAACCAAATGAGAATTTGTTCTACGCCTCACCCTTCTCCAGACGAACTACCCTGTGGCAAGTTTTATTACTTCGACCTTTTTAATGACATGTTTCTACCCCTTAAACTATGTTAGGTGACTCTGTGATCCTGGCATCCCCCTCTGCATGCTGCTTTAAGAACTTTTAAAAGAGGATTTATTTGACACTTCTGCAGATGTCAAAAAATTCAATAACTACACCGAAGTGAATGTGGTTGCCAAGAGGGCTGTTAGCAGGATGGATAACTACTACTGCACCATCGATGGAGGTCAGACATCTTCAAAAGCCGTTTATTGGCAAGGTAAGTTAGACGGTTCTAGAAACTGCGTGTAAATGTATTAACCGGAATTTGATATTTTGCGGGATCACTGGCAGTTTGGAAAATGGCCAAAATATATGCCATGAGGTAGTTAAACGAAAAAACAGTTGATAAGTTAACTCGCGGAACGCTAGGCGTAATTCTCAAACGTTCTTTCTATTCGAAATAATCATTTAAATAGGGTTGTTTTACTAATCGCTATGCAGCAGAATAGAAAGGCAGTTGAATTTCCAGCACGAGTCAGTGGCCTATGAGGCAGATGTTGGTGGAACTTTTACCTACTGAGTTACGAAAAAACATTCACTGATAAGTTGCAACTACCGATTTAACAGTCTGCTTTGTCTGTGTAGACGAAAAATAAAGATGTCTGAAATCCGTAAGAGACGACGATTTAGTAATTTTCAGCTGATTTAGTTTTTTGGACATCCCCAAAAAACCTATATTTTGAAATATTTTTGTTTAACAATAAAGGACCCCTGCACTATAAACCGGTGGATGAACATGAACATTTCGAAGACAGTGAATTTGTCATTGCATCATTCGACGACAAACGCGAGAAGGACCTCATAGGTACATTAACGGTTTGCGAGGTTCCATTTCAACTTTTTGTCTTTTAATGCTGTCGACATTGTCAATCTGTATGTCTATAGGTCTTAGAGTTTGGCGACAGAATGATTAGTGACAGTAGGTGGTGAAGACTTGAGATTGCAAGTACATGCATCAGGACTCGATTCACAGACTGCTGACAACTGATTGGGGTCATTCACCCTACCGTTGCCGAAACGTCTGGCATCGACGCTGAAAGTGAGCCACAAGCCGTCCTTGTCGACAATGCTCACCGCGTGTTTCACAGCAGGGTGGGTGCGGGGACGGTGGCTTGAGCGTAAGTTGGCTAATAGTGATTGTGGATTTACGCTACATCTATCACATCCTCCTCTTACCTACCTATCTGAGTCTGGTGTCAAGACCGACTTGAGACGCCGGTGGCGGGGTCGGAGTCAGTGACTTACAAATCTAAACATGCCATCTACGCACGTGCCCGATTAAGGCGTACGAGTAGCCATGGAAATGAGGAGCGTTTCAGATCCCCCCTGTGTAGGACAGCACTTGAAGTCGCAGTTACTGCAGCCTTACTCACCTTCGTGATCAGTTCGCAGACTTCAAAGTTACGTCTTTAGAGCAACGCGATGGCCTAGATGCTACATGGTCTGGACACAATTAGTTGACAGAGTCAAAACAGGCCTGATAGAAGCGAACAGGCGAGTTCCAGGTAGCAGTTAAGAAGATGAAGATGCGATCACTGGAGCAAGAAATTTATTTGCCTAAAGTTTCGGATTCTCACTCGAATCCATCATCAGAGACAATCGCTGATAAAGGTGATGGTGGAACGTGGAGTGCAGTTTTTATAGCACGTGACTGCCGTGGGGTCGTACGCGCACTGAAATTAACAGTTCTCGCAATCACCGCTGGGGCCGTAATTGATGCGGTAGTGGCTTGTCGGTCCGAGTCGGAGCCTAAAGACTAGAGGTTGGTGCTGGTGGTGGTGGTGGTGGTAGTGGTGGATGCTGTTGTCGCAATCGTTGCGGTGATGATGGTGGGGGTGGAGGGCGGCATCGTTGCATCCGAAGGTTACTCACAGGTGGTGGTGGCCGCCGTCGAGGGGACTTCGAAGACGTGGCAGTGAAGGCGTTTGCGGAATTGTCGTATTGTTGTCGCAGTAGGCCCAAAACTGGCCGAGTAGGCCCATCCACGCTGGAATGTATGTCGATATCGTGGACACGTTGGAAGTGGTAGAGGGTTTTGTTTGCGGATATTCGCAGCATGTGGCAAGTAAGTCGCTCTTTAGCTTTAGCAGCGCCAATCCAATTAGCGGCATAAATTGCAGTTTCGTTTTTTTGCTCTTCTTCACATTGGCTGATCATGAGAAAGGCTGTCCCAGGTCTGGAGAAGGATTTGAAACTCCCCGACTAAATGTCATTGGAAAGTCATTCTCGCCTTCCTTGTCGATGACCACGCGCAGCAACGTCCTCATTGAGGAGTCGTCTGGGCAGGCGCTCGTCATTTATTCTCGCAAGGTAGTCACTCGGTCGTAGTTGTGTGGCACGGATGCTGAGCTTTCGGGCCCGTTCTAGGACATTCGTTCCGTACCACCACCAGAGTTTTAGTATTCTTCCAGTTCTACTCTCCCGTAAATCTTGAGGTTAATATTAAAATATAGTCCTGGACGATACCCGCCTGAGGTATGCAGCCGGAGAAATGTCTGAATACCTCTAGAGATCAGATAGGCCACTTTCGCTGTCGTGACATGATTTGAACAGTCATCAGCACTGCTAAACGACGTAAGCGTCGGAGAGCCGGCACGTTGAAATCATGACCTTCCGAATGCATTCACCATGGCCTTCTAATAGTCTGAGATTCCATCTTCGGTCAGAAGGCTGGCTGTTTAATAAAGGGTATTTAGTTTAGCCTTCTTTAGCAATGCATGCGACAGCAAACAGCAGTATTATGGCCGCTACAGCATGCAATCCCCCCTACTCGTTCGTACTGTCTGTAGGCCAGCGACTATGGTGAGCGTTTACTTGTCAGACAATCAACACTCTCATAAGCTTGGCGGATACATCAAGGGCGCCAACATAAATAATCTATCATGCTGTCTGCAAGAAAGCAGCGATCAAAGTAATGCCGCGCAGAAAACATGCATTTTCACGAAGTGTCTTTTATTGGCTAGGTGTTTTATTTAATTTTGGATAGCAGTCTTAATTTGCTAACTTGGACAAAGGAAATTTGTTTATTTTATGTCCACTCATTAGAGATAATTTCGACTTCGAAAGAGTGCTGTAAAATCGAGCAAAAGAGTCAAATTTTATACTCTTCCTTAAAGTAGGTTATATTTATTTATCTAATACAATTTCCAAAACGTACCTAGAAACCGTCCGCGACGGGGATGCTGAACTGCAGTTTTTGAAGCGCGACGGGGATTCCTTAAAGAAACTCGAGGATTCACATATTTACAATTTATATGGTAAGCCATGGTAATGACATTAGGAGGAATGCGTTATTTCTCAATCCGAGGTTTTGACCCGTAGACACTCTAGGCTTTGGTAAGAAGAGATAAAATATACATACTCACAAGCAATTGCCTTAGAAAAGAACTCAACATGAATAGGAGCACAGCTCTTTTCAGAGGCTCCAGGGCAAATGTCTTATTTACTGACAATGCAGAAACTAGGCGTTTGAGAATATTTGCGTTAACACATGAACGCGGAAGCTTATCTCTTGTCCGTCGATGACTTAATTAGATGCGCTTACGTCCAGAATGCCTCGACAGACCGTATTCTGATTCGGTCAATGGGAACAATTTCCAATCATAAACAATTTTTATGACCACATACTGTTTAAGAAAAATATTCCCTCTACTGTATGTTTTTCATACAACGTAAATTGCATGTTCTTACGCTATAAAGAGGAATCCATAAATTAAGGCAATGGATACGGTGTGTGTTGTGTGACCACAAGCGGCATATGTAAGCAGTCTGATGCGATGCTGCTTGAAAAAACATTTTAAACTGTTAAAAACTGCCATAAATAAAAACAGTATCAGATACGGGGTAAAAGTAGAAGCGGGGTAAGGAAAAACCGTGGAGTACTACCTACAATATTTTTTGAAATACGTGTTGTTTTGTAGAGGTTTTGGCCGGCCCTTCGTCGGCAGGTTGACATTCGCCAAGTGCTACTACCCCGAGGTGTTAACCCTGCTAATATGTCTACAATGATTTATTTTTTTGCATCCCCGGCATGCATTTATCAAGAAGGGGGAAATCATATGCTTATATAAGAACGTTCGGAAGAGAGAGAATCCAGATAGGAAAAAGTACTCGGAATACTGCTAGACGAGAAGCATTCGACTTCCAGTAGTTCAGGAATTTGAAAACGCTGGCGAATTCTTTTAAAAAAGTCAAGACTTTCTAACTCACCACATAATCTTTATTATTTTCGTTTTTCCATACCCGACTCGTAGCATCTCTTCAAGTATGATATTTAAGGCGAACGAAATCTGCAATTATATGCCTGCAAGAATGATTGCATCTCTGTTTTTTTTTAAATATATCTAAATTTTCAAAGACGTTGGAGAAGGACGTAAAAATTTCATAATACGCAAACGGTAACTTTTTAAAAAAATATGACATTTCAGGCGGCCAATACGAAATTATTACAAAAGCTAACACCTCTCAAGTGGTGTCACGATTATCAATAATACACAAACCTACCGTAACAATTTTTTTATAATCTTAATCACAATCCAGAATTTTGATTTCATGAACTCGCTTACTGGAGCTCAAGATATGTGAACGAAAAGTAGATTTCTGTAGAGACTGCACCCAGTAAAAATACCCAACTGAGCCTAATACATCTTTTATTAAATTTCAGTGCTCCAGTTAAATTAAATACGTTTAATGAGACCCATGTACATAGGTATTCTTCTTTGTACTCATCTAGCTGAAAATCATTGTTTCGTGAGGCTTTGTCCCAATGAAAGTGTTAATTTTGGTTTTAAGGGAGGTTTAAATCAAGATAGCTTTTAATCTTGAATTGTCCATTCAAGTGGTATCATATCTACCTGTTTTCTTAGAGTTTAAGACGTATACAACGGAGTCCATATCTTCACCCAATACAACATGTTCTAAAGACTATAGAAGAATTTGTAATAATTTTCACGTGGAATGTATGCAGTCTGTCGAATAAAAACCCTAAAAACATTCGATAATTTAAAATATTTTTCATATGCCTCGGGCAAAAAGTTAATGTACTACTAATTAAGGGCAAAAGCTTTTTTTCTGTTATGTTTCTTATAAAAACTGTTTTTATTAAAGTTTTATATAAACTGAGTTTGAAGAAACTTTCGAATTTCCGAATGTTCCTATAAAATACATTTGCAATTTATCAGAGATCTAGAAATCAAGAAAAACGTATTCATTTTCACTGCGTGCATTTTTAGAGGCAACCAAAAGAAATCTCATATAAAAGTTAACATTTCGACGCGTCTGACACATTGCTAGATTATGCTTTATGGCAGTCAGCGTTACAAGCCAGCCTAGACACTCCTTTATTACCGAAAGCACATTTCAGAATCGCCCTTCAAAAATCGTGAAATCGGTCAACAACTCTATACTCGTGACCGGGACTAAGTAGCTAATTTGTGGTTCGAGCGACCTTGACCTTTACTCGGTTACTTGCCAGCTCCTCTGGTGCTAACCTCACTGGTCCAGTAGGTGGCTGTTTTTTATAAGCCTTAGGAGAGCGCATGCAAGAACGGCTATGCAAACGTAAGTGAAAATCGATAGGCCGCTACGTCCTGATCAATCTGATGGATATTAGAGCATAATGTGAAGGCCAGTTTAGCGTGTTTCCTTAGTGCTTAGAGAGAAATCATCCACGTCAAGATCATAAGCGCAAGTGAGCCTCGCCCGTGACTTCCAGAAGACAGCTGATAGGTTTACCGAGTGAATTGCCAATTCGACCGCCTCATCCGACAAGGTGACTTGCGCGTAATTTGTTTCATAGTGAGTGTAGGCTTTCGCAGCGCCTATCGCACTCTTTCCTCCTTCTCCTTCTCCTGTTCTCGGTTTTGCGATAGGGTTGAGAAGACCGGAGGTGGTAGAGGGCTCAGGTGGATGGCGGGGCAGGGCCCACATCTGTGCGCACCAATCCAAGCGTCGCGGTCCACACGGCCATTAACTAGGGTTTTAACCAACAGCATCACTGCCGAGACGGGTTAGAAGGAGTGTATTCAGTGTCTATAGACGACACAGGATTTTAGTTTTTACATATCAAAAAAAATTTTCAACTTTCCGATATCTACACGCAGAAAAAGAATATATTTTGTTTGTTTCGGTTGTTATCCTATGTGTACGTAAATTGCAATAAAATTCAAATTCTATTTTTTTCTTATAAAGGATTTGAAATCGGGCCGCAATGCAGCTGGGAAGAAAATACTGCAGTATGAAGCGCAGTTTTTGCAATTGGTTTTCACACTGCTTTGTCGAAACCACACTTACTCATTTACAGTTTTGAAATTGGCCTAAACTTTTGATGCATACAAACTAAAGAATTAGCAGCAGGGAGGTGCTGCTCACAGATGGAATTTTTGAATACAAGAGTGACGTATGTTTCGAAAAGAACTTGTCGGTAGTCTGTTTAAAACGTCACCTAAATTTTTAATTTTTTTGTTGACCCGAGGGTTTCGGCTTAAATAAAGCAATAAAATCAAATTAATCAGCGAGGACACGGAAATAAGAATTACCTATGTTACATTACTTGACGTAACTTGAATCTGAACCCCAAAATCGAAATCCCATGATTCCAACCCAAATCATAATCCTCTCAGTCCTAACTCCAAATGTGACGTTAACATTAATCATAACCCCTACACTCCGGACATTGGGGCAAGATTATGTTCAATGCAGAAAAGTCCACAGTTTTTGCGCGACCCCAACCGTCATCTTCCACAAACCAGAGAGGCAAACCAAAAAGGTAAACTTGCAAGTTTACATATCACGAAATCAATCTGTAATTGTCAACGTAATCGTCATGCCTCAATCCTCGACCTCCTCAATGTTGGCAAATGCATTTTTACATTTTCAGCTTAATCTGCATTCCGATACGTATTGATGCCTAATGTGCCGTGGCAAAATAATTTTTTATTGGTTTTGATTTTTTCAATTTTTTGTATGATAATAGGATTATTTCTGCACAATTAGAGATTTGGGTTCATTAGATGATTGTGTAGATTTCGCTAATACGAAAATATTTTAAGATAAATGTATGCAGTGAACATCGAAACCGTCGGCATTGCAATGTTTCAACATTTGTCTATCGTCAGAATGCTCTATTTGTGATCAACCATCGAAAATCTATGTCAATG